GGCCTGCTGAACAGAATGTTAGAAGGGCTGATACGGCTAAAAGGCAGCAAGCAAATTAACTGCATAAAGACATCGCTAAACAGAAATCATAAATCAACCGTGACAGGGCGGTTAACAAGAATGTTTGTCTGTGTCTTCTCTGAGGCAAATTTCAGAGCGGTGGGCAGAGAGCCTCCTGTTGGTTGTAAGCATGAAGCTTGGATGTAGGAATCAGTGACAGAGCTGCACTATGTTACAAACATTTAGATCTTATAGTTCACTCAGTGGCATTTACAGTCATGGAAACAATGATCAGACCTTGTTTTCTTAAATTTCTTGTTCATTCTAATGCCTGGTACCACTAAAGGTCCATTTGTTTGGACAAATATAATGATAACAACACAAACAGCTCATCAGAGTTTAGCTTCAGAGCTGATATCAGACATGTTCCAGGTTTTCTTGATAATAACCACTAAGCTCCTCCATCAGTAGCTATGGCATCGTGCTGCCAGAAACAGAGCTGACGACGATTCCTGACACAGAACGGATGAGTGCTCGGTCATCTGGTGGGTAGAAAGACGTTTCCTGCCGCCACCAGCTAGCAATGTGGTAGCACCATGTTGTTGTTTCTTGGTGTAATGAACGGCTGTCTTGGAGATCTTCCGGTGTCTCCCACTCACGCCAGTTTCCAGCAGAGCCAAGATGGCTGCCTTTGTGGCTTCACATAATTCTGTTTTAGGCGTTATGTGAGAGCTGACAACTTCTGAGTTGTGCTTGAATGTCAGCAGGAAACCACTGCAGGCCTTTGCATGTGCTGCTGCTGATGACATGAAATGGCCTCTTATAGACCCTACAGGGAACACAATGAAGCTGAAGCATGTCAGAGAGGACATAAAGTATGATGGGATCAGCTGCATTGTATTCTTCAGGTAATGTACCTTTAGTGGTACCAGGCATTAAAATGAACAAGAAATTGAAGAAAACAAGGTGGTCTGGTCATTTTGTTCCACGACTGTAGCTCACAATTATTATTATTCTTATTCTGTGACTCCTCTACCTTTACTTGTGTTTAAAGAAGAAAAGAAGCACAGGTAGGAATGGAAGGAGACACACAGACTTGCAGTGCAGTTGTTAGTATCTGTGCAGAAACAATACCTAATAGTTCTTGGACAGCACCCACAAAGTCTGTCTTTGTGTGCATTTTCATTACTGGAGTGGTGGGCAATAAAGGAGACATAAAAAGATAAATAGCAGTGGATACAGTCACAAAAACAGCAGTGTGTGCCATACTGTGATGCCAGTAACACTTTATTATTACTGTAATGTGTCGTTCATCAGTCATATAGCAAATATGAATGTTTGTATTTTCCAGTTTTGCCATTAAATACTTTTAATATTAAAAAATCTCATAAGTTTTAAGTCATAAAATATTTAAATGGCTTCCAAAGAACTCAGTCACAATAAAGTGTTACTACATTGTCAATAATTACACTTGTTTCCTTTGTCAAAAACAGTGTGATACAGATCAAGCAAGGCTTTAAAGTGTCGTTCAAAATCACTTTTTCCTGAGGTGATGCCGAAAGCTCGAGTATCAACGAACAGCTTATCGGTGGATATGTCATAAAGCTGGCAGTTGGGAGTGAAGCCAAAGTGGGCCGATCTCTGAGGACCACGTGAGCAAATGCAGCATGACCGTTCTTGAAGGAGGCACTCAACACGCAGCAACATCCACGTCCGTCACACGCCAACACGCCAACCCACACTCACACACACACACACAGACGCACTGCGCACACACTCCGCCAAGAAGAGTGACGCGGCAGCAGTTAAGAGCAAGAATCGAAGAAAAGCCAAAGGAAGGTGAAGGGAGAGCAAAACCAATCGGATCACAGACCTGGGAGACGTTTCTGTGTGAGACTCCTTCCTGTGAGCAGAACAGACACAAACAGTCAGTCATACATTGTTCAGCATGTTGTGATCAGTTGTTAGAGTCGGGTTGGCACCGGGGACGGAAAACAGGGATGGAGAATGGAAAAAAAATGTGCTGCTGTGTTAAAACTAGAGAAAAAGATAACATAATCCAATGCTGGAGCTCAGGTCACAAGACAGGTACATGCAGCACATGTTACTGTAGATCCCATAATACTGTCTGGTTTAGACTGCACACTGCATTATCTGCATTCCTCAGCTGAGGAGAGCACCTTATCTTCATGAGAAAGCTGAGACGGTAACGTCTGAAGGACAAATTCCACAATAACTCGTATTGTCTTGTTTGATTCTTTGTCGGACCTCAGAACACAGTCCTGGTGTCTGAGCTCTGCCCCTTCAGACGAATTATTCACTCTGCGTT